CCACACTCTAGAAAATGGTCTCCCATGTAAGATTTCATATGGGCTTAACTTAAGCCTGCTTCTGGGGGCAACTGAGACCCGCAACAGGGAAAGAGGTAAAAGCTTTATCCAAGGTAAGTTGGTTGGGAACAACGTGGCTGGGTTAAGTGTGGACACTGCTTTCAGGGTGACATTGGGGTTGTCAAGTAAGGTTGTCTGATACTTTCTGAGCCGGCCTGCTGTTAACCAGAGTCCTCCCTTTTGCTGTAACACAGAGAGTACATGGTAATGAGTTAGGACGGTAGTGGGTTGACCCAGAGTAAACTTTTCAGCCTCACTCAGTAAGCCACAGGTTGCAGCCACAGCTCTCAGGCAAGTGGGCTATCCTTAGGCTACAAGGTCAAGTTGTTTAGAGAAGTAGGCTACAGGTCACTTCCATGGGCCCAGGTTTTGAGTGAGGACTCCCAGTGCCACTCTCTATCTCTCATGCATTAATAGTTCAAATGGTTTTCAGATGTCAGGGAGCCCTAAGGCCAGTGCAGATCCCAATTTAACTTTGATTTGTTCAGAGGCTCACTGGCACTTAGGAGCCCAGTCTAAGGGGTCAGTCTTTTCCTTGAACTATCTGGTAAAGCAGCTTAGCAATAAGCCCAAAGTTGGGTATCCAAATTCGTCAAAATCCTGCCATACCAAGGAACCCACAAAATTGACATTTAGTGGTTGGGATTGCAACTCGAGTTATTGCCTCTCACTGTTCTGGCAGCAAGTTTCTTTGGCCCCGTGACAGTTCAAATCCTAAATATTTCACCTTTTGAACAGAGATCTGGGCCTTTTTCTTTGAAACTTTATATCCTCTTTCTGCTAAGAAATTAAATACATTTACAGTTTTCTCATTGAACAGTTCCTGCCTCAGAAACCCAAGGAGGGGTTGCTATGAGTCAGGTCCAACTCGACAGCACATAACAACAACAACAAGCAGCTATTAAAATATCATCCATGTATTTGAGCATTGTCCCTTGTAGCAATGTAGGTCCCGCAAGTCCCTTCACAAGGCTTCCCCAAAGGAATATGGGAAATTTTTGAACCCTTGGGGGATCACAGCCCAACAGAACTGAGTCTTAGTTCCTGTCTTAGGGTCTTCCCATTCAAAAGCAAACAACTCCTGGGACTGGAGATCAAGGGGAATGTAGAAGAAGGCATCCTTCAATTCTAAAACTGTGAACCAAGTATAGTCACATGATAGTGTGGTGAGCAGAGTATATGGATTGGGGACCACTGAATGAATATCCTCCGCCACCTGATTTATTGCTCTTAGGTCCTGCACAAACTGGTATTCTCCCATGCCTGGTTTCTTTACAAGAAGTATAAGGGTATTATATGGTGACTGGCATGGTCAAATTAGTCCATGTGCCAGGTATGTCTCAATTCAGGGTTTTATTCCCTCCTTAGCCTCCTTCTTCAGGGGTACTGTTTGAAACTGGGGGGTTTGGAGTTGGGTTTCAGTCCTACCTTGACAGATGTTTCAGTGACAGCTCTGCCCAGAACTCCTGTAGCCCACATTTCTGGGTTCACTCGCTGTAAAATTTCTTCAGGTACTGTCTCGGGATCAGCAGTAGGTAACTCTAGGAGGGCTGCTTACAGGGCCCATGCCTGATTGGGATTAACATCCATCTGGAGCTTGTCAGCTGGGTAAGTAACCTGAGCATTTAACTTGGTTAGTAAGTCTTGTCCCAACAGAGGGACAAGGCATTCAGGAATGTATAAAAAGCTATGAGTTAATAGCAGTACTCCCCACCTGACATTCAAGAGATTGAAGAAATTTTTTACATATAGTTTTTCCTGAAACTCCAGTAATGCTCATAGTCTTGTGTGACAAAGGGGCCTTGGGGATATTTAGGACTGAATATGTTACCCCTGTGTCCAGTAAAAATTCAATGGGCTGTTTTCCCACAGTTATTGCTACTGGGGCTCCTCATGGGAGATAGGAATTTGCCCAGTCTGCAGTGGAGCCCCTGGGCCCCATCATTCTTGATCACTGTCAGCTGTGCTTACCATATGTTGGGCCCCTTTTGGTTGGTTTTGGAGAACTTGTTCTGAGCACTCCCTCTTCCAGTGCCCATCCTTACTGCAGTAAGCACACTGTTGAGGCCCCTACTTTGTTGGTCGGCCTCCTCGAGGAGGAACTTGATTTGGTCACTTTCTATTCATTGGGGGCCTGTGGGGACTTACCCAGTAGGATTGATTTTGTGGCAGGCCTCCCAGGGCAGCAGCCAGCAGGGCTGCCTGTTGCTTCATGTCTCTTTGCTTCTGCCTCTCCTGCTCCTGGTCTCAGTTATTATAGACCTTGAAAGCAACCTCTGCAAGTTGAAAGTGTTCATACCCAGTCCTGCTTCTAACATTTGGTGTTTGTGCTGTGTATTGGGGGTGCTCTGGCTTATAAATTCAAGTTGATAATACAAGTGTTCTGGGGGTCATCTGGGTCAGTGTCAGTATGTTGGCAGTAGGCCTCATACACCCATTCAAGGAAAGCAGAAGGATTTTCCTTGGGACCTTGTTGTACTTCCTGAATTTTGTGACCATTAATCTGCTTTGGGGCCCCCTTCTAAAGCCCTACAATAATGCATTCTTTCATATGGGCCAACTTAGTTCTGTCCCCTGTGTCATTTGGATCCCATTTTGGATCTGTTCCTTGGCACTACCTGATGGCTAGGACCCCTCACTAGGTTGTCAGGCTGGAAGTTGTGAAGTCTGTCAGCTTCCTCTTTAGCCTTTTCTAATACCATCCGTCGCTCTTCAGGGGTGAGTAACGTAGTTAATAACATATTAATATCAACCAAATTGGGATGATAAACTGAAAATATGGAGATGGTTAAAGTCTCCATCCACTTTGGATTCTCCCTATAAGTAGGCATTGTATTTTTCCAATTTAATAAGTCAGCCATGGTGAACGGGACATGAGTCCAAACTAAACCTCCAGGATTCCCTTCATAATCTAAACTAGCTGGAACCTGCCATAATGGGTATTGCCCTGACAGACCTAATCCATGGCAAATTGATTAGACCCCAGGGAAAATTGTACACTGCTCTGAATGTGTCCTGGGGAGACCATTTCCTGAGGGGCACCCACTTCCTGAGGGGCATCCAGGGTGCTATCAGGTAAAGGGGGATAAAATACCACTGGAGTTTTAGGAGGTTCTGAATTTAAAACTCCCCTAGGTTTAGATGGTGGAGTCATAGGTGAGTTGTCTCTTGACTCTGGGAGGTATGGGGGAGGAATGGAGTCAAGATAAGCATCTTCAGAGTCCTGAAGGATGCCTTTAAAATCCACTTTCCCTTTAGGGTGTACAACCATCACCCTGCACTGTTTCTGTAAGCTCTTATTTTGAAACAGAGCCATGAACAACTCCAGGTAAAGCAGTTCTTCCAACTTTTGATCTTTTTTGCAAAATAAATCTAACTGCATAATAATATCATAGTTCAGACTCTCATTCTCTGGCCATCTATCCTCAGACTCAAGCAGATATTGTGGCCAGACAGTGTTACAGTAAAATATTAATTTTTTTTCATTTTTATAGGCTCAAAGCCAAAATGAGCCCAGTTTTGCAGGATACAGCCAAGGGGGCTGCATTCTGGTTACTCATTTTCCAATCACACCTCGTGTTCATTCTCACTTGAAACTTTTGTGCCGGCCCCACACACCCACTCTCTAACCCACACACAAACAAATCAAACTAGAGCCAGTAAAAGATCCCTAAGAAACAGTTGTGCTACGGAAGAATCTCAATTAAAACTTCATCTCTCACGCACACAAAAACCAAACCAGAACCAGACCAGACCAGAGTATAAAATTCTTAAGAGACACCTTGGCTGCAGAGATTTCTTAGCCAAGGCTTCCAACCTCCCAGTCAGCACTCTGGCTGCAGAGATGTCTTAGCCAAGGCTTCCAACCTCCCACTTTGGCTCCGTTTTTGTGCTCTAAAGAATTCATCTTATACTCATGCAGGAGACATTTTCAAACCCAGAATAATTTTCTCTTTTCTCAAGAAAACAAATGCGCCTAGAGACTGAAGATGCTACACACAGTCACAGACTCAGCACCCGTTACGTACCTTCAGACAAAGCAGTGTCTGAAAGGGCACGAGAGTCTGTCAGGGGTCCATTCTGTTTCCACCGTCCGAGGGTCCTTGTGCTCTGGGCAGAGGGTCAGGGACCCTCGGTCCCATCTGAGGTGCCAAATTGAAGTCGGGCCAAATATGGGTCCCAGCCTGGTGCGTAATCAGGCCAAAACAGTTTACACACCAAGTGGTTAAGAGGAGAGAAAATTATGATTGCAAAGCGGCAATGCAAGGAGACAGGGGCCAGTACCCAAATCTCTGAATGGAGATTGGGTTACAGATTTTGTAAGTTTCAGGAGAGGGGGTTATACATATTCATAAAAACTTCAGGAATTTGTGCATGAATTAGCTGAGGATTGGCTGAAACTTCCTTCGCCTTGATTTAAAGGGACAGTCATTTTTTAATGCAGTGTGCTTGCACACTGGGTGAGTCACACATGGCTCTGTGGTTTAATCATTGTCCTGATAACTAAATGGTTGGTGGTTTGAACCCACCAGCCACTCCTCAGAAAAAATATGAGGCAGAGAATGATTTCTATAGGAGAAATGTGGACTTAAAATTTCTAAATGTGAAAACGTATTTGGGCAAAGACATATCACTTGTCTGTTTGCAGATCTCATTTTTCTTTCTTTCTTTTTCTTTTTTTTTTAAATTTCATAGATATTTTCCTTTCATTAGACTGGCCACTTTTGGTTCTGTAATACTCTTAGGGCAGTTATTATAACCACCACCCAAGAGAAGATTGGCTCACTATCATGTGGACAAGAAAAAGGAAAGAGAAATGGTTTTATATTTTTCCTAAAGCTAAAGCATAAGTGATCTGGCTGTAGGTCCTCAGGTTCCATTTTTCAGGATCCCAAATAAGTAACAATTTTTAAATAACATCAGTTTTATTTGCTTTTCAGACCATGTGGATGAGCGAACAGTATGCAATGGAATTACTCCTGAAAAAGATGTAGATGGATTTCATATTATCAATATTGGAAGACTGTGCCTTGATCAGCATTCTCTCATACCTGCGACTGCCAGTGCTGTTTGGGAAATAATAAACAGAACAGGTTGGTAACTTGGGGGCTGCAGGGACTGAATACTAAATGTCAAATTGAGCATTTGTACATTGCCTTGATGGAACCCTCTTGACCTTATTGAGTACCATAAAATGATAAGCCATAAAGCTTAAGTCTGTAGAAAGATATAAAGTTATAGATGTCAAAGAGTAATCCAGGGTGAAAATAAAATGAGGAATATGTAGTGCCATCTTCAGGGAGTGGCTTCTTGTAGGGAGTAAATTTTCCAAATAGCAGGTATGTTTTTCTACTTTTAAACTAAAATTTAGCTGTGTTTTGATGAAAATCTTTCCAAAGTATGTTATGTTTATTCTTTGCCTTTACAAACAAAATATGCTAAACATATTTGAACCATCTTGAATGACCTAAGCTTTCATTATACGCAGTCACTACTGAACTATGCTAAATATAATAGTGCTCTCATGGACTCTTTTTTCTTTTTTTTTAATTTTTATTATGATTTAAAAGTTTACATTGCAAATTCATTTTCCATACAGCAGTTCATACACATTTTGTTTCATGACATTGACTGCCATTCCCCACAATATAAAAGCTCTCTTTCCACTTCCTCCCTGTAGTTACCTCTTCCCTGTTTCCTTCTCTTCCATGCACTCCTATCCCACACACCCCTCGCTAAGCTGTCTCCCTGTGCAAACACTGCCCCCCTGTGTAAACACTGCCCTTCTGTTCTCCCTCGATTGATCACTCTGAAAAGTGTATCTTCCTGATGTAAATGTTCACTCTATATGCATGTCTATTGTTTGGCTGGAAGCCACAGGATTGAATTTAATTCCAGACCTGAAAGGTAGCTAGGGGCCATAGCCCCAGGGCTCTCACCAGGCTTTATCAAAGCAGCAAACCTTTCTTTATTAATTTATTTTGTGATTTTCAGTTTTGCTCCACATTGCTCTCCCACTCTATCCAGGATCTCCTGAACCGATCCCCCTCCAAGTGGTTGACAGTGGTAGCTGGGCACCATCTAGTTCTTCTGTTCTCATGGTCATATAGGCTGAGGATCACATGATCTACCAGTCCCTTGGACTAATTGTTTCCAAGCATCTTTGGTTTTCTTTATTCTTCTTTGCTCTGGACAAGAAGAAGCCTATCTCATTGCATTTAGATGGCCACTTGCAAGCTTTTAAGACCCTAGTCGCTACTTGCCAAAGTAGGATGTAGAACAATGTTTTTCTGTAGTATATTATGCCAATTGAGCTTGATGTCCCCTGCAACCATGGTTCTCATGGACTTTTGAGTTGTGTAGAGATGCTTACCCTTTCATTAGTTGACCTCACATTGACTTTTATGGTGATGATTCTCTTGCCTCTTTGCTGTCACTTCCATTTCTCAAGTATCTTCTCTTTCCTAATTCTATGGCAGTGAGTTTGGAACTAAGAGAGGATATTTCCAAGAGTGAGCAGATCCTAGAATCATTCCCTTAGCATGTTAGCATTCAGAAAAACTTTAATTCTAACTGTATCACTTATAAAGAAAATGGAAGGGGGTAAAGTGTGTTAAATCACTAAGTTGTATGTGTCATGCTCTTCTAAATTCATAAGCTTAGTGCTTCTCTCCTCTGGAATAAAGGGCATGAACTTGGTGAAGAGTATTTCTCTCTCATTTTCTTCTGTCCCATATTTGCTTAAAGTTTGGTTGCCAATTAAACTTGATATTATTGTGCTTTAATTCCTCAAAACCCATTGCCTTTGAGTTGATTCCAACTTTTAACAACCTTTTGGGACAGAGGAAAACCGCCCTCATAGGGTTTCCAAAACTGTAATCTTTATGGAATCAGACTGCCGATATTTCTCCTGTGAATAGGCTGGTGGGTTCAAACCACTGACATCTCAGTTAGCATCTGAGAACTTTAACCACTGCACCACCAGGGTTCCTTTATTGTATTTTTAAAAATAAGTAGTTAATATATTTTAAGCTTCTGTACTTCTAACTCTTCATACATCTCAGTGTTTGAAAGAAATTTAATGGCAGGTTGAAAACGTCAGTGGTTTTTTAATGGGAACATAATCAGAAAGGAAGTGACAAATCCAAGAAGCATTAAAAAGAAATAGTTATAAATAATAAATATGGGAATATCCTAGGCCACACAATCCAAATTTAATTAGAAGTTTTAAAATATTGTGTTGTCAGCTGTTCAGATGTTTAATTTACTTCTTGTTGATTGCATACTGAAATCAAACTCTATATTTTAAGGAATTCAAACATTTGGGAAAAATGTGCTTGTGGCTGGAAGATCCAAGAATGTAGGGATGCCCATTGCGATGCTTTTACACACTGATGGAGAACATGAACGGCCAGGAGGTAGGAGATTCTATATCTGCATATTACTTTTTTACTTCTTAAAATTATCACTTACAGACTTTTTAAATGTGACTTAGTATTTTTGTGGTTTTATGCAGTTAAAAACCAAAACAAACCAGTTGCCATGGTGTCAGAGTAGAACTGTGCTCCATAGAATTTTCCTTGGCTGACTTTTTCGGAAATAGATCACCAGGTCTTTCTTCCAAGGTCCCTCTGGGTGGACTCAAACCTTCAACATGCTGGTTAGTAACAGCATGCACCACCTAGGATCTCCTTTATATAATTAAAGGTTCTCTTATTCTTCATTTCATATTATAAGAGGCTTGGAAATAAATAAAGGAATTAGTGAAAATATGTGACCCCTTTGTTCCTACATTTTTCTGTTGGTTGTATAATCTTTTGGGGAGCTCTGGTGATGTAGTGCCTAAGGAATTTCACTGCTAACCAGAAGCCTGGTGGTTCCAACCCACCAGTTACTCCTTGGATGGAAGATTGGACAATCTACATCTGTCCAATGTGTACATTCCAAGAGAGATACCATCTTGGAAACCCAAGGAGGGGTTGCTATGAGTCCAATAGACTCAACAGCAGTGAGGTTTTTCTTTTTTTTGTGTGTGTGTGTAT